AGATCCTTTTATTAGAGGGTTTTTGAAATAAATATTCTATCTATGTAGGTCTGAAAAAAAGATTGTAATGATTTGCTTGGGCCGAGTTGATTGATCTCCTTTATGAATTTTTTTTAGGAAGAGATGGCTCTAAAATTCACTGAGAACCTACTATGTGCTATGCCCTCTGCTAGAGCTTTCATACATGTTCTTTCGGTAGTTATATGATGCTAGAGGTAGAAGACTTCTAGAGGCTTCCAAAGCAACATGTCCTCAGGCACTAGACATTTGTGAAACAAGCGGTTGGGACTGTGACAAATCCTCAGCATCTGCATCTCAGCTCCAGTGGACTTTTTTCATGCAAGAATGTGGGCCTGGGGTTGCCATATCTTCCTATTTTTTCAAGAGGAACAAGAAATCAGAATTTTTTTGTCTCCTGTTTTGCATGGCTAGCTCAAGATTTAAAAATACGATTATGCATGGATTAACCAAACATTTCTACAAGCTAGATTTGATTGACTGGTTTCTGGTTTAGGACCTCTGACGTGGGCTACCTCCCTGAAGACAAGACCCGGATTGCTTATGGAGCATGCCTATGGTCAGCAGTGCACTTGTAGCAGAGGTGAAACAGTGACAGCCAACTCCATCTCCCTTTACCACAGTCCATGCATTTGCAGGGCTCAAGGGAACCAAACAGAAGCACTTAGGCCATGGAAAATGGGCAAGATACACTCATAGGCCTTTTCTAGCTCTAACCATCTATGAAAATCATGTCAAACCCAGGCAATGTTTTCCAAAATTAAAAAAAAAAAAAAAAAAGTAGGAGGGAAGCTATCATTTGATATGACTTTTTTTAATATGACTTGTTATAACTGTTGAGTGGACTTTTCGTTCAATATCTTAATTTGATGATTAGTAATACTTACGTTTTTTAAATTATGATGATGTAAAGTTACATGGTTTAAGGCATGACCATTATTTAGGACAGTGAAAATAGCCTACCTAATATAAGACATTCCCAGAATATTAGTTCTTATTTTTACCTCATTAATGAAGAGTTAAAATTTAGATGCCACTGTGATATATGCAATGTAATTAGTGTCCAATAAACTTGTATTTTTGAGGAATCAATGTTTATATTAGACTAAGGCTAAAACTGACTTCTAATCCTGAAATTAATTCTATGATAATCTGTGCCAATCCTGAACCATGTAAATATAAAAATCTATGACCTTTTGGAACCATATAAGAATATGAAATCAGTTACAGAAATAATGAAACCTAAGACAGGACTCTGTTTGGCTGTCACAGGGTAAAATCAGCAACATTTCTATCAAAATAGGAAGTGAAATTCAAAAATAAGAGCGTTAAGGGTCATAGAAATTTTATTATGACTATGCTAGACCCTGCTGCCCTCCCCACAACCATTCTGGTTAGAGACAAATTCTGCCACACCAAACTAATCTGCTGAGACCTACACAGTATAGAGACAATTCTAGGCATTTTGTCCAAGCCTCTGGAGAAATCTTGTGTAATTAAATCATCAGCATAAAACAGAATGCTTAAAATCCAGGCTCCAGAAGTAAATATTGTAAAACAATGCTTATTATGAAAACACTAAAATTACAAATCTAAATGCAAATTTTAGTATTTATTATCGTATCCCTAAAGTAAAGCATAATCCTGCACTTGTTATTCTTCACACTTCCTAGGAGATAGGCAAGTGGCCAAGAAAATTTACACAAAGGGAAGTTCGATGACTTTCACAATGTAAATATGTAATAACTCCCGTACCACTTCTACTTACATCAAAGGAATGCATTCAATAGCCTAATGATTAAAATATAGATATAGATTTTGAGCAGTAATGGGATTAATGTTAGTAATAGCTTTTTTTTCATTTTGAATCATTTGATTAGATTCATGAGTTTAATATTACATTAAAATTTATAGATATATTTTAAGTAGTAATTCGTAAGACTAATTATATAGATAGCTCACTTTGCATATTCTATTTTGCCTCATGATCTTAAAATATAGATTATTTTAAAATATAAAATACTTTGCAAGTATCTCAAAAGCTTAAAGCTTGTTGGCATAAAATATTGTTTTATGCTGATAAGGGTTGCTTATTATATTATTTCATTAGCATTAATATCACATCAATATTAGGTGGAGGAACTTGGTAATTAGTGCAGGTTTCACCTCTGTCTTAGAGAATTTCTTTTCAGGTACTATCATATGGCACAAACAGTTGTCATCTGCTAATGGAATTCCCAGTGATCCAAACCAAAAATCCAGGCATATGTTTTATCAAACACAGAACTTCCCTCGCCACCTTTTGTTTTATATCCTTCCTGATTTTTCCCAGTACAATTGCATGCACATTTTCTCTATATAGTTACAGATGCAAGGTCATCATACACATATTATTTTTTAGTTTGCATTTTCAATCTATACATTCTGTTGATATTTCTACATCATTAAAAATTCTTTTCTAACATCATTTTTAAGGACTGGAAAACACTTTATTATGTAGATGGACTATAATTTATTAACCAATCTATTCTTGTTGATTTTTTTAAAAAAATAGACATCGTTCATGTAACTAAAAATTTGCAAACCTCCATAATCATATCATTAGGATAAATTCCTAAAACTGTAATTGTTATGTTAAAGAGAATAAAAAATCTTGACATATTTACAGAACGGCATGTTACATGACTACACACTTTATATACAGAGAACCCATGTCCCTAAACCCTCAACAACAAACTATATTATTATTATTATTGCTTCTTTAGAAATATAATAGGAAAATGGTATCCCATTGTTTTAATATGCAATTCGTCGGTGATCACTGAGGTTGAATATTATTTTATACATTTCTCATTGTCTAAACAGAGAGATATGGGAAGGAAATTTTCTGAAGGTCTATAAGTAGCCCTGCACAGAGTACATGAATTCCATCAGCTTGAATGTGCCCAAATCTCTCACTCTAGCTGTACATTGTAGGGGATCAGAATTGTGTCTCCCACCCCAAAATGTGTCTCTTTAGCTTGATTATTTTTAAGAACAAAAGACTCTGAAAGAAACATCGACCTACCCGCTAACTGCCTATAAGAATTTAAGATAGAAGGCTTGTCCTCAGGACAGGCCATCACCATAGATAACTCTGGGTATAATAGACTGGGAGGATCCTTGCTAAGCCCCTTCTTATCAAAGTTCTCTCTTTCAGGTCACATTGTCTATAGATGGCCCAGCAAACATTTGTTTATCAAACATTTGCTTTTCCATCTCCGTGTAAATTGCCTTTCTCCCCTTTGAAGCCCCAAACCACTACCCCCAATATCCTCCTTTATCTTTAGCTGAAGATGGTATTTAAGGTGGTGGCTTCAGCCATTTGGGTGAGTTATTCAGTTTTCCTGAGTTTTTCCCACATATACATGTTATTAAACTTTGTTTGATTTTCTCCTGTTATTCTGTCTTACGTCAATTTAATTCTTAGACCAGAAGGACCTAGAAGGTGGAGGAATAGTTCTTCCTCTCCTATAACATAAATGACATTAAAATTATAGAAATATAATGTTTAGTCAATTCAGTGGAGGGGACAGTTCAGTCAAGAACTATGATCAAATTTCCTTTTAAAATAAAGAATATTAATAGTTAATTTAGTGAAAAATTGTGAGACTAATTGTCATAAGTACATAGATGCAAATGGTTTAGAAGATTCTGTTTTCTCTGCAAGATATAATGTGAAATATAAATCTTATTGAAACTACATGTTCCCTTTGAAGTATTAAATTCTGAGTATATTTAATCTTTTTAGTTTGTGCATTTACCTTCCTTTTAAAAGGTAATTAAATTCAAAATGTGACTTGAATTGAAATATTTTTATCTCTCCCTGATTTTCAAATGCATATTAAATGATCATTTATGTGATGGATGAGATGTTCTTTGGAACGGATCTGTTAAATCAAAAGACTTAAAATGTTATTGGCAGGAAATTAGACATACTAAGATTGAGTTATCCATTGCTGTGTAACAAATTACCCCAACCTCTAGCAGCTTAAAACAGCAAACATTTATTATCTCACAGATTTCTAAGGATCAGGAAGCCAGAAGCAGCTTCAGTGGGTGGTCTAGCCCAGAGTCTGTCATGAGGTTGCAGTGAAGCTGTTGGCCAGAGCTGCAGTCTCTGAAGACTTGAGTGGGGCTGAAGGATTTCCTTCTAAGCTCATCTGCATGGAGATTGGCAGACCTTAGTTCCTTGCCAAATGAGTTTCTCAGTAGGGCTGCTGAGGACAGACATGACATCCCCCAGAGTGAGAGATTCCAGAGACAGAATGAGCGGGGAGGAGGTAAGAGGGAAGAAAGAAGGAAGAGAGGGAGAGGAGGAGTAGTTATTTAGAGTAAATAGTATTACTTTAAGTAAACATTTACCATAAGCTATTCATCATAGCTTGAAACAAATGATGTCTGCTTTAAGTATACCAGAACGTATCCATTTCAACTGTCAATAGTCTTGTTTTAGCGCTCTGAATTACGTAATCTTTAAATAGCTAAACCTAAACGTAGTTTAAAAGAACTTCCTAATTCTTTATTTTTTCAAAAAATAGCTGTCATCTTCAGTGTTTTCTTGAGGATTTAAATCAAACTCCTCTGTTTATTTTAAATGAAATAAAGAAACAAGTATGTTATTGTTTTAAGGACATGTCTAATCATTTTCTTATGTGTGAATCCTCTTTTCTGCAAGTACTTTTAATAATAAAATTCTTTATCCCTCTGTATTTTTATTTTTGTAAAGTTTCAGTATAGCTTCTTCTCCCTCAGAGGTTTAAAATGGGAATGATTTCAATAGTAGCTCCGTGTCACATGGGACCTAAGTAGGATGGATGTCATGTGATGAGTGCAAAGGATTTTGTAATGACTTTAATATAGCCTATTTTGTTGTAGAATTTCTTTTCATTTGCTTAAAATAACAGAGACGTAACTGACGGTATAACCTTATCTTATTCCAGGTCCCCTAAAAACCCGGGACAGAAGATCATTAAGAGAGTGATTGCTCTTGAAGGAGATATTGTAAAGTAAGTATTTAAACTGTTGTTTTTGAGTTCAAGTTATAAATATCTAGATTTTGTTGAGTTTTAAATCACATTACATGGGAAGTACATCTCAATTCAAAGAGGACCAAAGCTTTAGAGACATTCCAAATGAACTGGTACATCCTTAGTGTGTATCATCAACCATTTCAGGATGTAAGGCATACATAAACTTACTGATCATATTATTAGCCTTTAACTGGGAGGCACAGGAGAAATAAATATTAATTAAACTGAAATTAACCACATTTTCTAAAATGACCATTAGATCATTGTTTTCCAGATATTAAAATTGGCATGATTGTTTTAGATTATGATGTCAGTGTTCATTTTAGAAAAATTCAAGAACATTTTATTATTTTAGAAGCAAATACAGAAACTAAGAGGGAGATTTTATAATAATAGAGAAGGGGAAAACAGGAAAGGTTGTGAAACAGAAGCTTCTGAATCAGTGACAAAAATAGTGACTTTAGAAAATAACATTAACAATCAGGTGTTTTAACAATATGTAGTAATGTCTTATTTATTCTATTTGCTGATAAATCTAGAACAATATTTGAGATTCAACAAGTAAGTATTGATGTAGTATGATATATTTCATTTTGATTGCTTACTTTAAATCAGTTATAGCCAGGTCTATACAACGTGGGAGTCAAAATGCTTTGAAAACTATATTCAGAAAGTTTTCTGATCCTGTTTTCCTAAAAAGCTTGGTCCTAAAGTATCTGTATTAATGACAGTAGAGTAAGCAATCTCATTAAAATGAATCTCAGTTGCTTTTAGAGCAGAATCTAGGCTAGGGGTTCTCAAAGGATGGCCCGAAGATTGCTGGGAGTTCCCAAGACTTTTTGTGGGGGTCTCTGAGATCAAAACTATTTTCATAATGGTACTAAGATGTTATTTGCCGTTTTCACTCTCATTCTCTCGTGAGTGTGCAGTGGAGTTTTCCAGAGGCAACATGATGTGTGATACTGCAACAGACTGAGTGCAGGAGCAGATATGGGAATCTGGCTGTCTTCTATGAAGCCAGACATTGACAAGATTGGCAAAAATATAACAATTGCCACTCTTCTCACTATTTTTTCTTTTGTTTTGGAAAATAACTATAATTTTAATTAAAAATAAGTTCTTTTGTTAACATATTGCTCTATTAATGTTATTTTTAGATTCAATCAATATTTTTTTAAATTCTTCATTTTAATTTTTAATATGGTTAATATTGACAGTATCCACATAGATAAAAGTGCTTTGAGATCCTCAATTATTTTTAAGAGTGTAAAGAAATCTTCAGACCAAACAATTTGAAAACTTGCTGATGTAGGAATGCCTGGCAAAAATTTTCATGTCAGGATTACCTGCTCATTAGTCACTTGCCTGGTATCAATAGAGCTATTGAAGTATGGTTTGTACTGTTTATATTCATGAATGTTTGATCTTTTTTCTTTTAAAAGCTTTATTGAAGTATAATTTATGCAATGTACAATTCACCTGTTTTAAATATATAGTTCAATGAGTTTTAGTATAAATGTATACAGTTGTGCAACCCTTACCACAGTCTAGGTTTTGAACACTTCTTTTACCTTTAAATTTCCCTCCTTGCATTTGCACTTAACTCTGGCTCCCACCAGTCCCACTTTTCAGTCTCAGGCCACCATGGATCTGCTTTCTGTCTCTATAGTTTAGCCTTTTCTAGAAATTTTCTTTAGATGGTATTATACAATGTGTAGTCTTTTGTATCTGGTTTCTTTCACTTAGCATGTGTTTTTTGGTTCCTCATGTTGTGCGTGTATCTGTAGTTTGTTCCTTTTCATTGTTGAGTATATTCCACTGTACAGACCTACCACATTTTGTTTCTCTGTTCACAAGTTAATGCACATTAGGATTGTTTTCAGTTTGGGGATATTATGAGTAAAGATATGGACATTTATATAAGTGCTATGGACATTTGTGTCTTTAGTTGGAAATACACTTTCATTTCTTTAGGTATATATGTAGGGATGCTAGGTGTTATGGTAAGTATACATTTAACTTTTTAAGAAACTACCAAACTATACTATTTTATGTTCCACCAGCAATGTACAAGGGTTCCAGTTTCTTTATATCTTTGCCAACACTTGGCATTATGAATATTTTTGATTATAGCCATCCTAATAGGTGTGAAGTAGAATCTCATTGTGGTTTTGATTTGCATTTTCCTGAAGGCTAATGATATTGAGCACCTTTCCATGTGCTTACTTGCCATTCATATATCTTCTTGGGTAAAGTGTCTGTTTGTTCGATGCATTTGCTTGTTTTGCATTGAATTGTTTATATTTTGAGTTATAACAGGTTCTTTGCTTTAGATTCTTTAAATAGACTGAGGATTTTGGAGAGAATGAATGTGTGTATGTATAATAATGTGATTTTAGTTAAGTGTAAATGTATTAGTATGAAAGCTTAGTTTTCATTTCCTATAGGATATGCATTTTAAATTTTTAGAACCTGATGACTTTGTTTTTTATTTTCAAGAGCCTGTCTTGCCTTCTGATTTCAGTAGGAAACTGGGAAGAGCAATAAATTTGGAAAATCGTTTGATATCAATCCATGAATATACAAAATATGCTTTTAATATTTGGAAAACAGTTTATGTGCATATGATGCAAATCCCATTCAAAGAATGAATCATCAAACCTGGAAAACCTTATGTTAAATGAAAGAAGCCAGTCACAAAAGACTACTTATTGTATCATTATATCTATATGAAATGTCCAGAATTAGGCAAATTCATAGAGATAGAAAATAGATTAGTGGTTCCCAGGGGCATAGAGGAGTGAAGATGGGAGAAACTGTTAATGGGTACAATGGGTATAGTAGTTTTTTTTAGGTGGTATGAAACGTTCCAAAATAGATTGTGGTGATAGTTGCACGACTCTGTGAACATACAGTCATGCGTGGGTTAACCACAGGGCTATGTTCTGAGAAACGTGTCGTTAGGTGATTTCGGCATTGTGCGAACATCATAGAGTGTACTTACACAAGCCTAAATGGTATAGCCTACTACACACCTAGGCTATGTGGTGCTAATCTTATGGGACCACCGTCTATGGGAATCACTGTCATTGACCAAAACACATTGTTATGCAGCACATGACTGTATTAAAAACAATGGGTTGCTATCTATCCTTGCACAATACCATTGTATGCTTGTGTGTTTATTCTTGTAGAATAGATAGCTAGAAGTGGAAATATTGGGTGAATGTATGTTGTTGTTGTTATTTTTAGTTTTAACATATACAGCCAAATTTCTCTCCCAAGAGGTTTGTGTATATTCACACTCTTACTAACACTGCATGAAATACCCTTTTCAGAGGAAATTGATTTAAAGATCATGTGCAATGGGGCAGTTGTGGACTTCAGATTCAGAAGTCAAAACATTTCAATACAAATTTTGAACTTAGCTTTGGATCATCAAGTTATATTTAATTTAATCAGTTCATTGACACTGTAGGCCTTAGAAACATTCATTTAATGAGCATTAGTCTAGACAAGAGAGAGACATAATTGAACAAGAGATAAAATTCCTGCCCTCGTGGAGCTTACATTCTAGTGGTTAGAAGCAGATAATTAACAGATATATAATACATAATGCAATGTCATGAACTAGAAGTGCTATGAAGAAAAATAAAGTAGGAAAGGATGTGTTGAGTGACCGTGGGGGTTTGGGACTGCTATTTTAGGTAGAATGTTCACTGTAAACCTCTCTAATGGGAAGATATTTGAGCAGACTCCTGGTGATGGAGGAAGAGAGCCATACTAGTATCTGGGGGAAGGGCAGTTTGGACCAAAGGAATAACAAATGCAAAGCTGAGATGGATATGTATTAAGTGAGTTTAAGGAATTGCAGGAGGCCACCATGTTGAACCTTACTGAAGGAGGAAAATTGAGTTAGGAGATTAGGTCTGAGAGTTTTGCAGAGCCTTGTGGGTCATAGTAAGGACTTTGTATTTTATTTTAGTGGGGTGGCAAGCCAATGGAGGGTTTTGAGCCATGGAGTGGTATGACCTGATTGGCATTTTTAAAGGATCGCTCTCTCTGCTCTGTGGAGAATAGACTAAAGAGAGGCAGTCTGACCCAAGTAACTGGTCAAAGTTTTCTTCTCTTGAGAAAATCATATCTAGCTTCTTCTAAAAGTAAAGTGTCCTTGTTTATGACATGAATGATGACTACTTTGTCTGTTATTTTCAAAGTGACTCATAAAAGTAGTCACATTAGTTGTAATCACAGTCATTATGATTATATTGACAAGATGAAAAGTAGAGTTGAAGTATTTGTTCAGAGAATTCAGCCAGATAGTCCTAAGATTGTAAAACAGGAGACTTTTGAGAGTCTGAACTTTCTATCTTGATGTCAGCATTGATTAAAATCACGAGGCAATTGCTCGATTATCTGGATAGCGAGGAATGTAACTATTTTCACAGTGTTAACCCAAATGGGTATGCTTATCTATGACATGAACAGTAAAAAAAGCTAATGAAAGTAATATTTAGACAGACCCATTAGTTCCGCCAAAATATTTTTTATAGTTATTTGCTTTTTCTTATTAATTTGTTATGACTCACACAGAAGCACTGTTTTGAAAATCATAAAAATGAAAAGTGAATACGAATCAACCACAATGGAAATTTCCAAGGCATCAACACTTTTCATTGGGACATCTGTAGTTCTGTTTCACAGATCTTCTCGGCCCAGTCAGAAATGAAGCCGAGCATCATTTCTCCTCTTACTTGGTGAAATACACTTTACGAACATTTGGAATCTGGGTTCCATGTAGTGAGCAACCTCAAAGGAGTAAATGAATAGGGTCTTTTTAGTCCCCAGTGAAAAGGGTAACCGTATAACTTGTCAGCTAAACTAGGCCACTTTTGAGAGTGAAAGGGGATGGTATTAATCATTACATTGGAACAATCAACATAAACTAGACAGCCAAGACAAACTGCACCAAATGG